ATGTGTATAAGAGACAGGGTCAATGGGGAGACAAAGGGACATCTGCAATATTTTGAACAATACAAAAATAAAAATATTAAAATTTAAAAATAAAATTTAAAAATAATAATTATTATTACTAATAATATTTGTAATAAGCTTCCTAAATAACCTAAAACACCAATTTTGTTTTATTTTTATTCTGCTACATAATTTTATATAATTTACGCTTGGGTCAGTGATAAAATCTAGAATCATTATTTTGGAATTGATATTATTTACCATTCCCAGATCAATTATAACCTTTGTTCATTTAAAAAAAGTTAATAAGAACATATCCAAATACACATTGCATTTAACCATGTAGACAAAGTTAAATTCACCAAAAATTGAGTAATTCAGATAGAAAATTAAATAAAATAATGACTCTATAAAGCAATATGTAGTTAACAATTTCATACAAAATAGCATTTTGACATAAGAGTGGCAAGTCATTTACACCAACTAATCCTACTATATTAATTTAATTTATGATGATTTCCATTCATAATTTAAATTAAATATCATGTATAAATAGCCTAAATATAGAGTGAAAGTTTTACAATAATCTAATTGGATTGTAAATCATTTTAAATATTAACAAATAAATGTTTAAAGAAAAACATAACATTTTAAACATCAAGAAGTGAAATGTCATTGACCATTAAACAAGGTTTTATATCTTTTAAACATATAAAGTCTAGTGATTTTAACAAAACAGCTACTGCTTTTTGTTGTTGTTATATAACTTCTTAAAAGTGTTTATATACTATAGTGGTATCATCTATCATTTGGGAGACAGAAATCTCTTATGTTTAAAAAACAAACAAAAAAATATATGACTTACCTTTAAAAAAGCTAAGAAGAATTTTTCAACCAAATGCGCCAACATTTGAACAGACAGTTCTTAGTAGGACCAAATGACCTTCTGCAGAAAAAACCCTACCCTAAAATCCTCATTACATAAAGTGTGTGAGTTTAAATACGCTTAAAAAAAAAAAAAAAAAGAGCACAAGGTCCTCAAGTCCCAGTGAGTGGCTTGTTGCCAGAGAAATTACAAAAAAAAAAGGACCCACACACCCACACACATCACACAACTGGTATGGCCCTTAAGAGTCTATTTTTATCGTCTGGAAAGGACCCATTACCTATATCTGAGATACTCGGCAGCATTTTATTTATTTATTTTTTTGGCCATTTGCCCATCCAACTAAGTCAGAGGCCAGGGAGGAAAAGGAACTGAAGCTGCCTGCAACACATTTTGTCTTACCACACAGTTACTCTAGGTGATGAACTAGGGCTGTGAGTCTGAAAAGTGTAAATTAGGGAGATTAATCAGAGTTTCACTTCCCCGTCATGATTAGCTTGCCAAACTCATTTCATGAAATTTAAATAAAACACACGTTTCTATACAGCATGAATCTGAAGCACACTGAGGCCAATAACCTTGAAAACAGTTGGAAACTCTGTCAATCAAGGAGGACAAACAGACTTTTAAAAAGGAAATGGCCTATTGTTCTAACTGGAAGTTCTTAACTCTATCATTTTCTGTGAGTTTTGTAAAAATTTCATGGGTACAGAAAAATTCCCCTATAAAAATCAAAATATTAAATTCCTCTTAAATTTTTTCAGCCAAAACACAACTATCAAATAAGTTTTAAATAGAATTACTATTTATTTTTTTAAATGTATATTTATTATTGAAAGTATTACATATGTCCCCCCTTCTCCCACTGATCTCCTCCCCTCTTCCCCCCTAGGCCTTCACCACACTATTGTCTGTGTCCAAGGGTTATGTTTATAGGCATATAAGTTCTTTGGTTAATTACTATTTAGAATGACCTTTTAATATATATTTTAAATATGTTTTTATTGATTTGAGAGAGAGAGGAAGGGAGATAGATAGAAACAGATAAGAAAGAAACATTGATCAGCTACCTCCTGCATGCCCCCTACTGGGGATCGAGCCCTCAACACAGGCATGTGCCCTGACTGGGAATTGAACCAGTGGCCTCCTGGTTCATGGGTTGGTGTTCAACCACTGAGTCACATCAGCTGGGAAATATTTTTAAAAGTATATACATGATTTACTTTTTAAAAAAAGTCATTAATTTTAAATCTTATCAAAATACAAAGTATTGCACTTTGGGGGGGAAAAAAGACCCTAAGTATTAAGAATCCATTCTTACAAAACAATTTTCAGAATCCTATAGACAAAATCAAAATCTTCAGAAGGTTAAACTGTCACCTATCAGACATGGCTCTAAATAAATGCTTCCAAGGCAACCTTGAACTAAAGCAACTTGACAAAAACAGGCTGATATATATTTAGTTCATTACATTGGACTTAAAGCAGTTCTTATCATTGGCTTGCTCCTGCTATTCCTTTGGGGCATGTGGGGAATCCTATCATAGGTTAGCAGAGCAATACACTGAAGGAAGGAACCCAAAGCACTCTTTTTTTCTCAAGTATTGTTTTTTTTCCCCCAAGGTATTTTTACTGACATATTTATTTAAAAATTAGTAACATGTTATAAAATACTTTAGGTATTTTGGGATTTGTTTTCAGATTTCAGACCACTTAATTAAGATAAAGTAAAAATGGCCATGCACATTTCTTGCAATTATAATGATATTGTTCTCATGATAATTTATGTTTTTCATTTTAAAAGATTAACTTACAGAGATTTCAATTACCTTAAAAAGATGATTTCCTTATAAAGGGGACCTTTTCTCTGTTGTATTAGTAAAAAGATAGTATAAAAGCTAATTAAATATTTTCAGTAAGCATATCAATTTTATTTATTTAAACTGCTTTGATATATTTCAACCTACTTCTCTCTCTCTCTCGCACACACACACACACACACACATATGACAATTCAGAAATAGCTCACCAACACAGGAGTTCAGATAGGACCTCTTTAAAAGAGTATATTTTAAACATATTGAATGAATAGTTAGGTTATAATGAAAATATGAACAGCACTAGAGAACTATTTCAGAATAAATGCATGCAAAATAGATGCCTAAGTTGACATTGAACTTACTTGGATCACTATTTAATCAGAAGCCTAATGTCATCCATCCAAATCCTCTGAAGGTCTCTGGAGAGGAAAATGTCACACACTCCCAAGAGCAGTCCAAAGAGTCAAATTTACATTCCCAGAAGCAGCTGTTAAGTGTTCAGTCCCACAGACAACAGTTCCTGAGTAGCTTAGCACACAAGACTGGGAAAGCGCACAGCTAAGTAAAATCTACAGTCATATATTTAGATTTTGAGCAAAATATACACCTTGAACAATAAGGCAGCAAAATACTGCATCCATTTTAGAGTAAAAATGTTGAGGATTTCATTTTTACAACATTATGTACTCACAGTATTTTGAAGGGATGTATTTTATATGACAGTATACCTTTGTCTTATGTAAATCCACTATCATACTAGATACATTTAGTAGAATAAAGGAAAAAATTTAAATCTATTAAACTCAACTTAGGCACAGTTCTTTGGGAACTCTTTTTTTTATTTTTTTATTTTTTTATTGTGAGAGACCACATAGGGTTTGGAATCAGACAGACATAAATGAATTCTGATGTTACTTGGCCCTGTTTACAATGACTGAGGATTAGGAGTTAAATAACTACTTACCTTTATTTTCTTAATCAAAAAATATAGAAAACTAAATAAGAGGGTGATTATATGAACTAAATGAGGTGAGTTTTGTGCAACACTTGACAGGGGCCTGATTACTAGGCACTCAAATATGCTTCCTCTCCCATTGGGCTCCTGCCCCCCTTTCCCTTCTCTACTTTATTTTCTGCAGATTACATAGCATAGCCCATGAGAAGACACCTGACTTATTTTCTTGTCCTGTCTCTGCATCAGGTAGAATATTGGCTCCGTGAGAAGGGTGAGGATGGGGCCACTTATTTAGTTCACTGCTGAATCCCCAGAGCACAGACCAGGTTCAAGCTGGTTGAATGAATGAACTCACACACAATGATCTTAACCATAATAATATTTCAAAGGGGTGAGAATAACCAGAAATTGAGGTTCTTATGCTGCTTGTTCATACTACAAATATGCAATGGTTTTTTTTGGGATAGAGCATTTGATGTGAAAGTGAATGGGCCTGAGCTTGAATCTGGCATCCATCACTTTCTAACTACTTTGCCTCTCTTAGTCACAATGAAAATATCTCCAGTTTAGAATTTTTGTAAAGATTAAGAGTGATAATATGAAGGATCTGTGCAGAGCCTGACATACAGTATCCATTTAATAAATAATTGCTATGTTGGTCATTGTCTATTAAGCAAATTTTATTTCAGATAATTTATTAAAGTAATATGGACAATTAAGAAATATTGAAAATTATAGAAAGGTATAAAATAATAAGTCTCTTTCAAAGCCTAATTCTATTCCTCAGAAGTAAAAAATCAGGTATGTTTCCTCCACTCCAGTAATTTTGTGAATCTTAAAGTTATATACATATGTATATGGAATAATACTTATACTGAATCATACTTTCTGCAATCTGTCTCTTCTCATATTATGTGCCTTAGAGATACTCTCATATTATGAAGAAACTTTTTCTAAAATTAAAAGAAATTCCATAATAAACAATATATTGTCTTTTAAATGACCAGTCTCCTATTTAATAGGCTTTTTTAAAAATTGTTTCTAGATGTTGGTCTTACAAAAACCATGCTAAAAATTCATGTATACATAGTTTTGTTTACTGGTGCTAAGACACCAGTAAACAGCAGTTTAATTTCAAAATGAAAAGTGTGTACTCTTTTTTTCATTAAGGACAATTCCACCAAATTTCTGTTTATGCATGTACACAATGCATATGTATGCCTATCTCCATACATCACTCATGCTGGTTTATACACAACTTTAAGTTTGTTAACAAGTTCTTTTTTATTGATAAATATTTGAGTAAAGTTTAACCTTTTTCTTAAGTATATTAGCCATTTATATTTTAAAAAATTTTAATAATGTCCTTATTTATCTTTTTTTTTGTATTTTTTTATTTTTTCCTCATTAATTAGTAAGGAAATAGTCTTCTGACATTTGACAATTAAACAAAATTAAACTATTCTTAACTTCATTTTTATTGTATTTTTATTTTATTAATTAAAAAATTTTAATGATGATGTTATTGCAGGTGTTCTCCTTCCCCTTTCCCTTTGCCCATTTCCACTCACCCCAACTTTCACTACCCTAAGCCTTCACCAAACTATTGTATTTTTAAATTACCCAAATTTTCCATTTTTATGACATTAATTTTCATAGTATTATATTAAGTATTGAATCATGCTTTGAAAGGCTTTTTCCACTTCAAGAATATAAAAATAATAACTTACTCTAGCATTTATAGGGCTCTTGAAATCCTTTATAACAGTACTTTTAAATAAGCTGATTCATGGAATTTAACACTTGTGAAGTAAAAGAGGAAGAGTAAAGTAAATTGAGCAAGATAAATATTGCAACATATTTGAGAAGCAGATGATAGATGGTATTATAAGAGTTCTAGAAGAGTGATCACATGGCCCACGTGCTGATCACTGCTTTATTAGCAATAATAGAGCTGTGAACTGGGCAATACTAGTAATCATAATCCTGATATCCTTTCTTGTCAAAGGTATATAACTATGGAGTCTACCTATACTCTAGTTGAAGATCAAATCAGATGGTAAATTTAAAGAGGAAACTGTAAAGCTGCATGCAGTTTCTATGTAGTACAGATTCTTAAGTAATTAATTTCATTTTTTACAATTCAGCAAATGAAAAGAATTTTAGTATAATATACATTATAATTCTAGATTTTATAAGTAAGCAAAGACATAAATTATGACGATGATACAATAACAGAGTTAACACATATTGGGGGCTTGCTATCTGCTAGCTGTTAAACTAAATAGTTCACATGTGTTACCTCATTGACCTACCATATCACCTTACCAGGCTCTGTAGACAACTA